CCAGGGGAACGTGCTGGGGAGGGGCGCATTGCATTTTGAGAATGAAGATGTGTTTCTTTCCTTCCCCCTTTTTTTACTCCCCATCCCAAAGTTGGGCACCCCTCCAATATTTACCTTTGCCAGGTGTATTTCTAATTTGTTCTTGGCATCCTTGGTCTCCTTCACCCTATTCTGGAACGCAATGTTTACTGTCCTGTTTTGCTTGCGCATGTCACTTGCAGTCTGGGACAAAATGCTGTCAATCAAGGCTCTGAGAGCCAGGGAATTGTTTCGCTGTTTGTCAGCTTTTTCAACATTTGTGTTGGAGAAATCCAGCCATTGTTCAGGGCTCACTGAGCTGTCCAAAAATAAGAGGGGGAAAAATTGACTCCCACATGGAACCCCTCAGAGTCAGGGAAAAGGATGGGAATCATTGTGAAATGTTCAAATCTTGCAGGCAAGATATCAGATGTGCCTCCTTCAACATTCAAGAAAGGACAACCCCAACTCCACTGTTTTAGAGAAAAGGTACTTTTACTGAATATGAAATGAAAGCAACAAAAGTAAAGCAAAATCTAAAGCTAAAAGGCGCAAAATTGTACATATCAAAAGTTTACCCAAATTCCTCCCCCCAACAACCCCAAGCTAAATGTCCAATCTCCAACCCCCAAGGGTGTCATGTGGGGTGCATCTTCAGGTGGTGTCATCCATCTGGTATGCCGAGACGGTTGACCTTGACCAGACCTAAACAAGACCATGCAGCATGCGCAGAAGATGGTGAAAACAAAATTCCCTCTTCATCCCGAGATATCTCCTCCAGCACGATTCCCCTCCAAAATACCGAACCCGCTGCCTCCCTGTTACTATGGAGGCCGATAGCAAGCAAGCAAGCAATATAGAGGATAAGAATCACAATCAAGGATATCCACAGGGTGGGTATGTTAAAGTCACAAGTTGGTGGTCACAAACATCCAATCAAAGTCTTGTCATCAAATACGAAGAAAATAATCTTGCTATTCTCACTTGTGGCACCATCTACTACCCAACTCCTTCCCAATTTGGCCTTTGTTGAAATGGACCATGGTTGCAGAAAAGCCAATGTGTCCCAATGACAGGTTTTCCTGGTTTTCCCACTCAGTTCCCCATGTGACACTTACTTCTCCTCAACCTTCACAACATTTTGGGCATATCCAATATCAGTAGAGTTGTTGGTCAGATTGGAGCAATAGTTGTCAATTGTGAAGGCCGTGAATTTATCCTTCAGGTCCTGTTCAAGATTGTATTTGGCTGTGCGATTAAGCCTGAAAGAGGAAAAACAATCTTTGAGAAGAGACTATATAAAAAGCTGCCCAGCCATAAAGTCCTAAAATGCAGATTACATATATATCAAAGGACCTAATACAGCATAACGGATACATTAGAGCAGTATTGTGCATACCACTATCCCCATGCAACAGAACACCAGATTTGCAAAGAAGGCTTTTTCCCCTCTCATAGTTTTTGCTGTAGAGTGAAGAGACCAGCTCACCTTCCTCCTGCATGTGTCTGTAGAAGAGGAGCACGCAAAACTGGAGGCAGAGTTAAATGTGTCATCAGTTTAGAGTCCTTGCATTGCCACAAGAGATCCAAGCCCAGCCTACCTTGAACTCAGTTGGCCCTTCTCTAGGGCCAATTTTGTGCTGTTCCTTGAGCAGAATGTTGTACATAGGTTTCAGTAAAAGGTTTATGCTGCAACCTTACAAAGGGTTCTGATTCTTTGCGCCTGACATTGTCAATGCACAGTCCACCCAAATTTCATTGTTTGGAAATGAGAGGAAAACTTTGCTCATTTGTACCTGAGAATTTTTACATGCAGAATAGCTACTGTTCCATTAAGGCAGGGGTGTCAAACTCAAAGCCCGGGGGCTGGATCTGGCCCACAGGGTGTTTAGATCTGGTCCACGAGGCTGTCCTGGAAACAGCAAAGGACCGGTCCATGGTGCCTCTGCCAATGAAAACAGCACAGGAGGCCCGCAGGCAGCCCTCCCAAACTCTGTTTTCACTGGCAGAGGGTTGCAGGAGGTCATCACAGCTGAAAATGGAGCTCGCAAAGGCAGCCCACAGCCCTCCCGAGCTCCGTTTTCACTGGCAGAGGGTTGCAGGAAGCTGTCGCAGCCAAAAACAGAGCTCGGGAGCCCATTTTCGCTGGCAAAGCGCTTGAGGCACCACAAGCGCCCCCAACACATGATGTCGAGATGGCCATGCCCCCCTGGCCACCACCATCCTTACACACACACCCCGAGGTCAAACACAACCCTGATGCAGCCCTCAATGAAATCAAGTTTGACACCCCTGCATGAAGCTATAGTCGATCAAAGACTGCATCCGTATGTTGGCCTTCCCTCGGCCTCCCTTGACTTTGTGGGATTAACAGCTTTATTCATACTGCATCTCACTTTTGGCTCTTCCCTATTTCCCATGTCATCTGCAGGATCCACACAGCTTTCTCTTTTCTTCCTGCCTGTCTCAAAACTTTGCTTTCCCCATACCTGAGTTGCTCATCAGTTTGCTCCAGTGTACGTTCAAGCAGAGCAACAACTCCCTGGAAGACCTCAACTTCTTTGATCAGCTCCCGTTCCACTTCATCATGGACCAAGTCAATGCCAACCCGCCTTTCCCTGAAACAAAAACAAAAAGTATTTTGGGTTTTTTTTCCCCCTGTGCCACATCAGGAAATTCTGTCTCTGGGACTACAGCAATGTTTGCCAAATAATGTAGCATGTCTTATTCTCCCCCTCCCCCCTGCATTTTATTCTTATAAGCTGCCTAGAGTAGCTCCATGGTGAGATAAGTGGCAAATAAATTTCACAAATAAATAAAAAATAAAATTAATCAATAAAGGCACATACACAGAAAATAAATTAAAAACGTCTCAAATGTAGCCTACCTTTTATCATACCTGAACAACAGTATACTATGGGAAGGAATTTATGTACTTATTATATTTTTATATCACTATACTTCCCAAGGATTCACAGCTGTGCACAACTAAAATTTAAGCACGTTACCATAACACACAAAGATCAATATAATTCAAAACCAATAGAATCGTATAAAGCATCAACAACAGAACTAAAATAAATAGGCATGAATAGATGACTATCAATGCTCTTCTGAACAGCTTTTTTCAGAACTTTCCTGCAAGAGTCAATGCACTGCCTAGATCAGTGTTTCTCAACCTTGGCGACTTTAAGTCCTGTGGACTTCAACTCCCAGAACAGCTGGCTGGGGGATTCGGGGAGTTGAAGTCCACAGGACTTAAAGTCGCCAAGGTTGAGAAACACTGGCCTAGATGTCTGATGGAGGCTGCTACAAAAGAACTCAATCACCAAAAGGTACTAATTTATCATATTTCCCCAAATCTCTTTTGAGGGAAGAACCTACAGCACAACAGACACCTACACCCAAGAAGATAAGACAGCTTTTTAGGTTAGCATCAACACTTGGGATTGTATCCTGCTGGAAATCAACGCAAAGCGCAAGTCAAGGGTGTAATTCAAGTAATCCTCAAGTTACAACCACAATTAAGCCAAAATTTCTTTTGCTAAGTGAGCCCAGTTGTTAGGTGAGTTTCGCTCCCTTTTGCAAACTGTTGCTAATAAAGGTTATAAAATGGGTCACGGCTCACTTAACATCTGTTTTGCTTAGCAACAGATATTTCGGGCTCAGTTGTGGTCATAAGTCAAGGATTACCTGTAATACAAACCCAATTTATCAGGCTAGTTTAGGATTTTATATACGGTGCAAACATACAAGTAGCCAGTTGTGTTGTGCAAACAAAATATATGGATTCAATCACATTACTCTGGCATAGGTCTTAAATCAAACCATCTGGCTTAAAAAGTAAAACGTAAAGGTTCCCCTCGGACATATGTGCTAGTCATTCCCGACTCGAGGGGATGGTGCTCATCACCGTTTCAAAACAAAAGGGCCAGCGGTGTCTGAAGTCATCTCCGTGGTCATGTGGCCGGCATGACTAAATGCCGAAAGCGCACGGAACACTGTTACTTTCCCACCAAAGTGGTCCCTAATTTTTACGTCTTTTCGAACTGCTATGTTGGCAGAAGCTGGGACAAGTAACGGGAGCTCACTCTGTTATGCGGCGCTAGGGATTCGGACCACCGAACTGCTGATCTTTCTGATTGAAAGCTCAGTATCTTAGCCACTGAGCCACTGCGTCCTTAATATTATTTATATTATATTAATATAAATAATATAAATATGGCTTAATAGTCCTCTATTGGTTATAACAGCTCTTTAATATTTAGAAAGGGCTTTCCCAGCCCTACCTACCGTGTTTCCCCCAAAATAAGACAGGATATTATTTTGTTTTGATCCCCGAAATAAGCACTTGGCCTTATTTTCGGGGAGGTCTTCTTATTTTTGAGGTGCAGGAGGTGGCCAGCGTGGTCATGTCATGGCTGCTGCTGCATTGCAATATTTTCGGGGTGGGCTTATTTTTAGGGAGGGCTTATTTTAACGCATGCGCTCAAAAGCCCAATTGGGCTTATTATCCAGGGAGGTCTTATTTTAGGGGAAACAGGGTAGCTATTCATGGGGTTAGGCCAAGATCTTCTCCATGCAACACAGATGTTACACTACTTAGCTGTAGAACCATCACAGCACAGAAGGTAGCTTGGAGATAATTTCCTTCACTTCGCTGCTCAGTACAGAAATCCACTACCTCAGTTTCCCCACAGATGGCGAGCGAGCCTTTGTGTAAACATGTCCCGTGTAGAAGTCCAACATCTCCCGAGGCAGCCTGTTCCATTGCCAAGAGTCATTAGGAAATTTTATTTGCTGTCCAATTGAAATATACTACAGGTAGTCCTTGATTTATGGTCACGGTTGAGCTCAAAATTTCTGTTACTAAGCACGGCACTTTTTAAGCGAATTTTGTCCCATTTTACAACCTTTCTTGCCACGCTTGTTAAGTGAAACACTGCCGTTGTTAATTGAGCAACATGGTTGTCAAGTCAATCTGGCTTCTTCATTGACTATGCTGGTCAGAAAGTCCCAAAAGGTGATCATACGACCCCGGGAGACTGCTGCAACTATCATAGATACATACCAGTTGCCAAATTTTGATCACATGACCATGGGGCTATGCTGCAATGGTCACAAGTTTGAAAAATGGTCATTTTTTCCAGTGAACCTTGTAACTTACAATAAATGAATTATTGTAAATCAAGGACTACCTGTGTCATTTATCCATAGAATCAGCGTTAGAAGTGACATTAGAGGTCACCACGTTTAAACCCTACTGCAGGATCTACTATTGCAGGGGTGTCAAACTCAAGGCCCACAGGCCATATCTGGTCCACGGGGTGCTTAAATCTGACCCACAGGGCCACCCTGGAAACAGTGAAGGACCAGCCAGCGGTGCCTCTGCCAGCAAAAATTGGTTGCAGGAGGCCATCACAGCCGAAAACGGAGCTCGGGAGCCTGTTTTCACTGGCAAAACGCTCAGGCCACCACAGGCACCCACCACATGAGTGGTGTTGAGCTTGCCACACCCACCGTGGCCATGCCCTCCCCGTCCCCCCAAGGTGAAACACAACCCTGATGCAGCCCTTAATGAAATCACGTTTGACCTCCCTGCATCTCTGACAGATAACCATGCAGCCTCTGATGTAAAAGAGAACTTTCTGCTTCATACGGCAGCCAGCTCCTTTGATTCATAAGTTAGAGTTCAGGAAGTTAATTTAAACCTATTGTTTCTTGCCTGTCACCAGGAACAACGCCAAACAAGCCCTTCTCCTTCCTGCAAGCCCTTCAGAAACTTGAAGATCACCATTCTCTTTTCTAGACTAAATATTCCCACGTCTCCAGTTATTTCTCATAACATTTTTTCCTGCCAGCGACGATGAGTGACTCAAGACCTTTTCTCCCAGCTAACCAGTCATGATGACATTACACAGCTTCTTAATCCAGACAAGTTTATTCCCGCCTGCCTCCAGCAAGTAGAAACTGAAGTGGCCTCTCAAGTCCAAAAAGAAATAATCCTCTCACCGGTTTAAGAGACACTCCTGAGCAGTGAAAAGTGGTTCTTTGCAGCCCTCCAGAGCCTTTTCCAGCCTTGTTTTGAATGACAAAAGCACTTCAGTCTCCTTCACAATCTGGTCAAGTTTGTCATCCAACTGCTGCCTCCAGAATTTTATCTCCTCAAGTCTCTGTTCTGCAGAAGTGAGAATACTCAATCACCCCAAGGTAGAGGAAGGCAGCATCCAAGTCCAGCAGCAGCTGCATCTCAGGGCTTCATCCAAAAGGAGAATCTGATGACCATCCATAACAGACCATGTGGATGAAGCTCAAGTGAATGATGCCATCAATTCAAGGACTGAGTTCACACAGTATTGAATCAACCCATTTTCCGGGGTTGCGCAATATACTGAACCGTAAACTAACCCCCCAAAATCTGGGTTTGCATGATATGATGAGACTCAAAACTCTAAAACTGTAAACTGTATATTTTACAAATGCAGCTGTTGCATCTTTACCTTAACTGATTAAGCATCTTGGGTGGACATGTTAATCATCGTACATTGCAAGGGGTGGGGGGTTATTTTATTATATTATTTTATTCATTTATTATATGATTATAATAAATTCTTTTATTAGTTTTATTGTTTCATATATGAGATATTTATATTCTTGTAAGCCGCCTTGAGTCGCCATGTGCAAATAGGCAGCAATAAAAATTTCCATAAACAAACAAACAAATAAATAAATATCTGGACATTCATCTCAAAACTCAATATTTAAGAGCTTCCCAATGGTTTAGGAGAGTGATGGACAACCAGAGTTCTGCATGAACAACAAGCCCACTTTTGCAGCCCAACATTGTATTGCTAACATGTGTTGACCAAAAGGCCCCCGCCAGCAGAATAATATAGTTTTCTTTTTAAAAATGGACACAGTCAAATGGGCATGTTAATTTTTTTTTTCTCCAGTTAAAACAACCTCCAACCCATTTCCCTCCAGGGACAAAAAAAACAACCCACCATTGCCTCATTATGGGACAACTACCCAGGCCTTCTGTGGCTCTCAAATGTTGGAAACAGCAGGAAGAAACAAATATAAATTATTATATATTTTATTATATTATTTTATTATATTATTATATGATTCACTCTTTTATTAGTTTTATTGTTTTATATAGGAGGATTTTATATTTTTGTAAGCTGCCTTGAGTCGCCATGTGCAAAGAGGAGGCAATATAAATTTCCTAAAATAAATAAAATGAACAAAATAATAAATGAAATAAATAAAATAAATGAAATAAATAAAATAAATAAAATAAATAAAATAAATAAAATAAATAAAAT